TGTCTTCTACTCCATCCCACCCAGCAATATATATGTGAAGAAGTTGGTGTAGATCGTTTCAGAGCTCATTTTTAATGACAACTAATATAAATGCATTCTCATGGCAAAAGATTAGAGCAAACTAGAAGTATAAGAAAAAAAGCCTCCCTTCTTGAAAGCCTCCCTTTACCCCTTTCCTCATCCCATTCTCTTCTCCATAGGTAAATATTTTAAATATTATGGTGTAAGATCTTTCTAGTCGTTTTCCTAAGCACTACAACATACACATAGGTATGTGTACATATATATCCATTACATTTTTTTTTTAAAGCGAAGTGGATATTACAAGCATGGCTTCTTTTTTCCAGTTAACAAAATAACCTGAAGATCTTTCGGTGACAGTATAATATTTTTGAAAGGCACTACCTTTTTTTCTTATTATACATATCTGTTTACTTGAAATATTGGGATTATAATATTTTTTAGCCTACCTTTTCCACTTAACATTACATTAATATATATGTTCCACTTAATCTTTTAACAGCTGCTTATAATTTGATTGAATGATTTTTCAATGATTAATTAACTAGTTCCTTATTAATGGTCATAATTGTTTCTTATTTTCCCCCATTATAAACAAGGTTGCGATAAACATCCTTGATAAAAATGTATTTGCCGGGCCGGCCGAGTGGCGCGATGGTTAAGAACTGGCTTGGGACGCCAGAGGGCCCCGGTTCGGATCCCACATACGAGGGCCAGTGACACTGCCCTCTACAGCTAAGGTGCTGAACAACAGCTCAACCTGGAGCTGGGCTGCCATGAGTCGCCGGTGACGGCGTGGGCTGCGGTCCCTGTGGCAGTGGATTGCCATGGGCTACCGTGTGTGGCCAGCAGCCAGCGTGAGCGGCCAGCGGCCGCAGTGAGCGGCCGTCCGGAGGCCGGCGACTGATCTGCCTCCCCGGGAAGAGCGCAATGATGGTGCCAGCTTAGGCCAGTGAAGCAGCATCCTCCACAACTAGATTGAAGAACAAAACGACAGCAACTTGTCTGTTCCCCTTCCCCCAATTCCCCAGCACTGTTCCCATCCCCCCAATTCCCCAATAAAAATCTTTAAAAAAAAAAATGTATTTGCCAACTTGCTATTTCCTTACATCAATTCCTAAAAGTAGATTTTTTTCTGGGTCACCTGATACATGTACATTTAAAAATTTGAAACACATTGCCAAATAGCCCTCCAAAATGATTTTGCCAATTGCATTTCCAACAATGCTATATGAAAGTGTGTGTTTCTTCGCACGATTCAAGCTGGGGATTACTAATCTTTTAATGTCTTCCAATTTAATAAGGAAAAACATGAAATCTCATTATTTTAATTTGCATTTCTTTGATTAATGAGGTCTATATTTTTGGCCCTTTAAGATTTTTCTTTTATAGTTTCTAAGTTTGTTGACATGCTTTGCCCATTATTTTAATTGGGATATTCTTAGAGATTTGTACAAACTGTTTACAATAGTGTTATTACATAGTAAAGAAATGTTAGACATTGAATTTTTTCTTTCCAGTTTGTCATTTACTTACAACTTTGTTTTTGATGTCTTATCCAATGTGACTTTTATGTAATAAAAACTCTTAATATTTTCCCTTACAGTTTCTGGCCTTGGTGTCAAGCTTATAAAGTCCTTCTCTACCTTGAAATCATAAAAAAATTCTCCATTCATACATGCATACCAAGAATGACATATCTCTAACTTAGCAAAACCAGAATTATTCGCTTGAGGAAAGAAAAGTAGTATGCACTGATATTGTTATTGTAACAATATGAAAGTTTCCCATTCCTCAGTGATATTTTGTGGTGTACAAAGTAGAGCACAAAATAGTACAGTACTAGATTATTTCCAGTTATGGAATTACCTAAAGAAAAAACAAAACAAGCCAAGCTACAACTGCCTCCTCCTTACTTAAGATAAGGTAACAATACCTACTGGCCTTGGAAGTTTCGATGCTAGAAGCAGACAGAACTAATACCCAGTTACTGTGAACAACAGTTAATGTGGCCCAGTCAGACCAGAGAGCACGAGCAGTAATGTGGATGTATGTATGCCTTTGTATCCTTAGGAAACACGAAAGGAACTGAGTGCACTTTGCTAAAAACAAATGCTCAGTTCTCCAGCCAGCTACAAGACTTTTATTAACTTCCTTGTTAAGTGGCTAAACCAGCTAGAGAACAATGCTGGTAACTAGCACTCATTCCACAAGGGATAGCCCTTTTTCCCACTGAATGCCACAAGGACTGTTAGCCACCAGACACATTCCCAATCCTTTCCTCCTTGCCTGTTCTACCTGAAGTGAAAATGTAACACAGTTCTGGCCAATAAGATAGAAGACGTTTGTTGGAGGGGATTCTGGGAATGCTTTTACTTTCCTGATCAAAGAAACAGTTATGGCTGAAACCACTCCTTTCCTTTTCTTCCTGCCTCAAATGCATGTGTGATGGCTGAAGTTGCAGCAGCCAACTTGGGAACACAAGGGAAAGAACCAGAGATGCTGGCCCTAACATCATTGAGAAGGGAAAACCATTGCCAATAATTAATTGCCTGCCATCCCTAGAATTATTCTGTCAGAAAAATAAACTCCCATTTATTTACGCCTCTATAATCAGGCTTTATGTCCTTTGCAGACCAAGCCCAACATAATTCTAAGTATTACAGTCACTTTCAAATAATCTTTATGTCTAGCACATCACAGAGCCTCAGACATTATGAGTGAATAAATAAGATTCTGGAAAACTAAGTGCCCCTGGGGCATTATCAGGCAATTCAAGAAAAATCCCAACTAAGAATGACAAAAAGTTAATTTCTAAATGATCTAGTGGTACTGAATTCAAAAGATGCCACCAGGATGAACAGTTAGCTCAGTTGGTTAGAGTCTGGTGCTGATAACACCAAGGGTGCCGGTTCAATCCCCGCATGGGCCACTGTGAGCTGTGCCTTCCCTAAAAAGAGTCAACTATGCCATTGTAGCATGAAAGCAATGTGTAACCAATGACCATGGCTGTTCCCCAATAAAATTTGGGGAAAAAAAAAAGATGTCACCAATATTTAAACCAGGTCTCACTTTATGCCTGGGATAATAATGTTACCTGGATGGGTTGGGTTTAGTTTTAAGTGTCTAATTTTCCTTTCTTATTAATATTTTTCATGTCATCCTGACAGAAATTCTAAAGATGCACTCATTTTACTGTTTTTAAAAACAGACTAAGGGCCGGCTGTGTGGTTCAGTTGGTTAAGAACTCGCTCAACAGTGCAAGCTCTGAGCAACAGGGTAACCAGTTTGATTCCCGGCCCGAGCTGAGCTGCCAACAGGTGGCAGGATGGCTCAGCTAAAACAAAAACAAAAACAAAAAAACAACAGACTAGATCCAGAAATGAATGAAAAAAACAGCCATATATAGGCATTTTCACTTGCAAAGCACAGGAAAGATAAAAGGGCACAAAGGTCTAAGTATGAACATATTCAGTACTATCCATAAGCTGTTTCGTACTCAAAGCACTGAACAAAGAAAACAAAAATGTAATAATCACTATGTTCACCTAAACATGCAGATCTATTACTTTTCAGGCAAGGAGGCTGGGGGGGAATCTGATAAGGCTTAGTAGCAAACTAAATATACGCAAATAAAAAGGTTAAATATAGTTTGAAATATGAAGCTGGCAAAACCCGCATGTGCCTACATTATAACCAATCAGTTCACTTGGTAAAGATTTATGTTTAAAAATGTCTACCACAGCTTTATTTACAACAATGATAATTAAAAACAACTTAAATGTCCAATAGTGAATGGCTAAATAAGTAATATTAGAAAATTGACATAATCATTTAAAATTTTTGAATAATTTTAATGTCAATGCTCATGGTACACAAAATATTTAAGCAAAAATTCATAATAGTAGAATATAATTTTAATTATATAAACAAGAAAAACAAGAACATAATGAAAGGGAACTCATACACACTAAAAGGAAGTATTCTGAGATGTTAAAAGTGACTATCTCCTGTGTATGTATACAAACACTTCCCAGTTCTGTGTGCTCAGAGAGCCTAGAAACAATGACACCCAGTAACAATGTGCACCCCTAGCACCCAGGTTTTGGTTTCTAAATACCACAACCAGCTAAAAAGAATCAGGGCTCCTTGGAGAAATACTAATTCTAGGGCTGGACCAGGAAAAGTATAAGATAAGCCTAGAACACCTTTGTTGTACCAGAAAGTAAAGAAGTACTCAAAGAATGATTGGGGACATCTCAAGAGGACACTGTAGGGGCTTCCGTTAATATGGGGCAATTTTAAATCAAAATAAATAATGATAGTAACAGATAATTCATTGAATAAAACAGGAAAACATGGGCCCATACTTATATAAATGATAAATAAATAAGTACTCTTATAAAAATATTACGTTATAGTAGATTGTCAACTAATAAATATAGAAGGAATTATTCTTTAAAAATTGTTATCTCTGAATAGTAATATTATGAATATACATTTCTAACTTGTTTCAGCTTTATAAAATGAGCATGTACTTCTTCGTAAAAATACTCAAAAAAATTCTCAACAGCAGTCTGAACAACACAACATAATGCACATTTCTACAGCAATTTCTGGGGCCATTTTAAAAAGGAGGACATTTGCATAAAACCCCCAAACATATAAAGCAAGTGCATGCATTGTCCTGACCGATCTGTCCTAGAGAAGAGCTCAGATGTCTTAGGCAGGTGGCTAGAGGTAAAAAACAAAACAGCAAAAACAAAGAGCCACCAGAGGCAGCACTGAGATATATGGAAAATTTGTTTTGGTTTTACAGTAATTATGGGACTTAAGAGATGTGACAAGGACCCTTGCTATGATGCCAATGACAAATGGTTAACTGATAAGAAGAAATGGAGAGGGCGACAGGCTGTAGAACAGGTCAATATCAGGCTGTCACGAAGCCATTTGAGACATATAATTAATCTATTACTCACCTGGCGTCATCATTCATTGTAGTATGGTCAATAGGTGCCATGAAGCTCAGTAGCTTGCTAAGGACATGAAACCTAAATAAAGCAGGAAACAACAGGCAGCAGCATTAGTAACTATTAACCTAGAAAAGGAAACATTCTATGAGCCAACAAACTCCAGAGCTGATCACAGGAACCTCTGGCCCCAGAGTGGAAAAGGGAACAATGGTAGGCATGCAACACTCACAACTATAGAACTTTTGTCCTTAATGCTACAGGAGGAAAGTCTGATAACAGCACATTGTAAACGACAGTTCAACATATGTCCACTTATATCACAGCCCCCCCAAAAGAAAAGATACACTTGTGCTCTTGAGCAATATACTAACCCTCAAACATTTCTCCAGACAAAAGACAATGACTACCCCATTTTCCTCCTCTGATGTACACCTTAGTCATTTTCAGTGTCATGAAAGCTGCCCACTGGCAGTCGCACAGGTAGTGGTATGACACCCCAACAGAATACGTCACCATTGCCACCGATCACTAGCACTGGCTCCCTGAGTGAGAAGACCTGAGTGAGAGACCTAGTTCCATTGAGTCTTTCATTTTTTCCCACCTTTAAATGAAGGAGCACAACAATAAATTCATAGGTTTGATCCCCAGATCTTCAGTCAAGGTGTTATAGAAATTTAAGTTACATCACCTCCATTTCTTGCCAACAGAAGAACGGTATTTTCGTATAAAATGTTTTGAGATTCTCTGGTGAAAGGGGCTGAACAAATATATGACCTTATACTAACCAAATTATACCAAAGAGAATTCAAAGACGGTATCCCTTTCTGTTCATTATAACAGCAGAGGCTATATGACAATATGCATATTATAAAATTTTAACCAAAAAAAATTGACTTGGGCAAAATATCATACACAAACAAAAATATGATATTTTCATGTGCATGTTTTAACAGTTTTAAAAACATTTTTACATGTATCAAATAATTTGATTCTCTATTGTACTACCTACAGCTAAGCCTCCCAAATTTCATTCTTAACATGAATTTTACAATAATGGTGATGAGATTTTCACCATTTATAAGAGTAGCCAAAAAAGTATGTATTATAGAAAATTTGGAAAACAAACCAACCAATGAAGCACACACAAAAATGCAGTTTCTCCACCTAAAAACAATTGTTAATAGTTTAGTTAGTTATGTTTGTTTTACATAGTGATCCTGTTATGAATACATACAATTTTATATTCTCCTTTTTTCACTTAGCATTGTAAGCACTGTCCCTAAACAATACCTGAATAGCTGTATGCCATTCCAGGAGTGGAAGTATCATATTATATTTTCTTAATTTTGAACATTTATATTGCTTCCAATTCTTCACTTTTTATAAGATGCAAAAACAAAATCTCATACTTGTTTTGTTATTTTTATTTTATTTTTTTAAGATTTTATTTTTTATTGGGGGGTTGGGGGAATGGGAACAGCGCTGGGGAATTGGGGGAAGGGGAACAGACAAGTTGCTGTCCTTTTGTTCTTCAGTCTAGTTGTGGAGGACGTTGCTTCACTGGCCCAAGTTGGCACCATCATTGCGCTCTTCCCGGGCGAGGCAGATCAGTCGCTGGCTTCTGGACGGCCGCTCACTGTGGCTGCTGGCCGCTCACACTGGCTGCTGGCTACACACGGTAGCCCATGGCAACCCACTGCCACAGGGGCTGCAGCCTACGCCACCGCCAGCGACTCATGGCAGCCCAGCTCCAGGTTGAGCTGTTGTTCAGCATCTTAGCTGTAGAGGGCAGTGTCACTGGCCCTCATATGTGGGATCCGAACTGGGGCCCTCTGGCGTCCCAAGCCAGTTCTTAACTATCGCGCCACTCGGCCAGCCCTCATACTTGTTTTTTTAAATGTGGGTTACCTCCTAATTATAAAAATTAATGTATTGGGTTGTTGGAAAAGTCAAGATGTATTTTTTCTGTTTTTCGTTGCAAAAACGCGTCATGACTTTTCCAACAACCCAATATAATTCTTACAAAAGAATCCAAATACAGAAATGTATAGAGAAATGACAAGCCCCCTATAGTCCTATTCCCCAGAAATAATCACTGTTAATTAAAACTGTTAAGTTTGGCTGAAGCATTTTCCACATATAAGACAAATATAAACAGTACATTTTTCACATAAAAATGAGATTGCAATATAGTTAGTATTCTGCATTAAGCTTTTTTCCACTGAACCATATGTCATATAGTCTTTTTCATAGTTGCAGAATATTCCATTATGTCAATATGTTATAATTTATTTAATCTATTAATGGGCATTTTTATAGCCTGCCCCCTTTTAAAAACATATTAAACAGTGCTAACGTGAAGATAGGTATATATAAATTACGGTATACATGGTCACATATTTCTATGGGATAAATTTTGAGATGTGAAATTGCTGATGAATTGGAAGGTATACATATTTAAAATTGAAAAACTGAATCAAAATGTGTCTCAAAGATTATGTCAATGTAGGAGAGTTTATTTACCTAACCTTTTGAAGCATACTGTTGATAGATGCATTTGAATATCTTTAGGCTTCATCAAACTGTGGTGTCCATCTAAAAAAAGGGTACTATTCTTGGCTATGTCCAAAGACAGATTGAATTCACTTTCTGGACAAAGATTATGAACTATACTCCATATTTGTGCTGTCCAATCCAGTAGCCACTGGCCACCTGTGGCTACTGAGCACTTGAAATGAGGCTTATTTGAATTGAGATGAGCTATAATTGTAAAATACACATCAGATTTTAAAGACTTGGGATGAAAAAAAAATGTAAACGCTCAAGAGTGCGAGCTCTGAGCAACAGGGTCACCAGTTTAATATGATGATATATTTTACATTATTTATTATTTTTTTTTTTTTAGCTGAGTCATCCTGCCAACTGTTGGCAGCTCAGCTCGGGCCGGGACTCGAACCGCTATTGCTCAGAGCTCGCACTCTTGAATGAGCTCTTAACCAACAGAGCCACTCGGCCGGCCCTATCATCAGTAGTTTTTAAAATAATAAATTACTAAAATAATATTTTTGATATATTGGGTTAAATAAAACATTAAAATTACATTCACATGTTTCTTTTTTACTTCTTCAATGTAACTACTAGAACATTTAAAATTACATATGTAATACGTGTTTTTAATGGATGGCACTGCTTTGTGGAATACTCTTCACTTTAATACAATATATTCAATAACTATTAACTGCATGATAAAAGACAGGCTTTAAGAAGAAATCAGATTAAAGACGATTTAGTAATGTGTACTTAATGCAATACATTTCATCTAATCTCAGTGCTGCTAAGGATGAATGCATGTTTTAAAAGTATTAAAACACCTCTTTACACCAACCATACTAAGAAAAGATAACTGTAATTTTGTTGTAGAAGAATAGACAAACACAGTAAGACATTTCATCATTAAAGGTCTGAAAGTTTAATTCATTTACATCATGAGTTCTGATTAAATCATGGTCAAATCTACTTATATATACTGCTGAGTAAAATACTGATATCAATAATTATTTCTAAAAACCAAAATATTTCTTTTTTATACATTATTTTCAAGCATCCAACTAGCAAGTTGCCATGCCCAATCTGACCAGGTTGATATCACTGACCTGCTATCATTTCAATTAATATTTCTACAAGGTAATGTTCGTTTTTACTATAACATTTTTGGAAGTCTTATCTTTCCAACGCTATCACAAAGAGCAAAACTTGCTCAATGGTAGAAACTAGTACCAGTTATGACACTGGTATACTTTACCATCTCTTTTTGTGGTCTAATTTAAGGAAGTATTCATAATATTACAATACTCTCATCTAGCCTGGACTACTTGGTTTAATCCTACAGGGCACCATGCTCATGTAGCCAAAATGTCATTTTGGTGCCTGCAGAGGCCATCTGGTCCTGCCCAGAGAAACAACTCAACAGCCAGAGGTTAGAAGCATGGGCTCTGGAATCAGAGCAATTAGCTAAAATCCCTGTTTGCTACTTACTAGCTCTGTAATGCTAGGTGAGTTACTTATCTTCTTTAAGCACTTTACATGAATTAGTTAATTTAATCTGCATATGAACCTATGAGGTGTAACTTTTATTTTATTCCTCACAGATGAGGAAATTGAAGTACAGAGACATAAAGTAACATGCCCAAGGTCTTAAGACCAGTGAGTGGAAGAGTCAGATTTCAAACCTAGACAATTTAGCATCAGAGCCTGTGTTTTTGCTATCTCTGCATGTAAATTGCTTAGTAGAGCCCAACAGTGAGAGTTTTATAAATGTTAATAATCACTATTGCTATTAATAAAGATCACTTTCTGATTCTGACCACATCCCTCACATTTATGGTCAAGAAGAGCCAGGTGAATACAGATGACAAAACTTTAAAACATATGACTTCATTTATTATTTTTCTTTTTACTTTTTATTTTGCAATAATTTCAGACTTACATAGTACAAACATAGTTGCAAACATAGTACAGAGAGTTCATGTATAACCTCACCCAGCTTCCTCCAATATTAATAATTTACCTAAACAGTGTAATTGTCAAAATCAGGAAATTAACATTGGTATAATATTATTAACTAAACTATAGATCTATTCAAATTTCACCCATTCTTACTTACCCTAGTGTCCGTTTTCTTTTCCAGGACCCCAATCTAAGACCCCACATTGCATCTAGTTGTGATGTCTCTCCTTGGTCTCCTTCAATCTGTGACAGTTCTTCAGTCTTCCTTGTTTTTTCATTCCTTTGACACTCTTCATGAGTACTGATGAGTTATTTTGTAGAACATCTCACAATTTGGATTTGTATGATGTTTTATGATGAGACTGAGGTTAGGCATTTTGGGTAAGAATACCACAGCAATGATGATGTGTTCTTCTACAGAAGATGGGGCGGGGGGCAGGATATGTCTTATTATTGGTGGTGTTAATCTTGAACACTTGGTTAAGGTGGCACTTGCTGGGTTTCTCCACTATAAAGTTACTATTTTCCCTTTGTAACTGATCAATATCTCTGAAGAGATGCTTTGAGACCAT